GAGAGAGAGAGAGAGAGAGAGAGAGAGAGAGAGAGAGAGAGAGAGAGAGAGAGAGAGAGAGAGTATAGAGACCAATAAGGTCCAACAAGAGATACCGGCAACTTTGGGTGTATTTTTTATTTTTGTAATGTCGAATTTATGCTCACCTTAAACGCCGAGTCGACAGGGATGAAGAAAGTGAAGCGACCCTCCTTGTTGAAGATGTCAACCTTTCGGCGAGAGACGGCATCGGCGAACGAGCGGATCGTGTACGAGTCCAGGTCAAAGTTGGTGCTCTGCTGGATCAGCTGGGCAGCGTTGGGGTTGTACAGTGTGTCGGCCGAGACGCCTGCCTTGATGCGCACCGGCTGCAGCACCTCGTCGATCTTGTGAAGCACCTGGAACGCGATACACCAAATGAAGTGGCGGTCGACTCGTCATCAGAGGCGTGAGCTACGGCAGCGGGCCGGGCCTGCCAGCCGGGCGCACGACGCCTGCAGAGGGCCGGGTAGGCGACCCGGCCGCACGCCCGCGAGGCCCCCGGCCTACCTGCCCGGGCGCCCCCAGAGGGCGCTCCGAGCTGCAGCCGCGGCGCCAGCGCGGGGCATGCCGCAGCATTACCTCCTGAGCGAGCCTCGCACCCGAAACACAACAGCCATCCAACAAGAGATACATACGAGCAGGCTTTGGGTGTATTATTGCACGAACTGCAGTATTCCGTTTATCAACCCCCCCCCCTCGCCCTGTCGCTCCTTCTCTCTTCATCTCAAATCTGCGAATGGTCCGCCTCACCCTCACCCGTGAATAGACCGATAGCCTACCACGTAGCCGAACTCAGAAAACTGTTTATCTTTCTGGGAACAAAATCATTACTATGGCATAACCTTTTAAATTTTCGTCGCAACAAAGAAAATTTTCTTCAGCCTAATAAAATTTCTTCAATTTGACTAAAGTTTCGTTTTCTAAAATAAATGTTTCCGTCGACCTAACAAAAAAAGATGTGAATTTGATTTGTGGACCGAAATTTTCCGTTCATGTAAATAAAATTGCTTTTCCCCATGAAGAGTTGTGGGTGGTGCGGTGGCACTCTTAGACGCACCTGAACCTGGCCGCGCGTGTTCTTGCCGCTGTAGTCCGAGTCCTGCCGGTCGATGCGTGCGTTGTTGACGTACACGTCCTCGGTGTGCTGGCCCTGGTCCCTCCGGTGCGTGATCCACAGCGGCGGGTTGCCCTCCATTTGCGAGAACACGATGGGCTGCGTCAGCGCCTCCAGCTTCATGGGCTGGTTCGCTGTGGAAGTGCGGGGAGGGAAGTTGACGGCATCAAACATTATGCGAACGCGTAAATTGTAAAGCAAGAGAGTGACGGGGTGGTACTTACTAATGTGGTACAGGACCAGGCTCTCGTCGCGCTCGCTGGGCGGGAACTGCTGGAACGCCATGTTGATGGGGGCGAACACGGTCACGGGCCTCATCGCCAGGGTGGTGTTGGCGAACGCGCTGGTGCCCAGCCGGATGGAGAACTGCAAAACAAGACCGAAGGTTAGCACTTTCTGCAGTATCTGCGATATTATTTACCATGCCAAAGGGCATACAAAATACTATGGAGGGGGGAAAGGGGGGCGCTCAGCTGAGCGCAGAGCCGCGTCAGCTGACCGAGAGGGGGGAGGGGGCGGACAGGAGCCCCCTCGGGTCGATCGCTGGGGGGCTTCTCGTGCCCCCTCCACCCCACCTGACCTCGACAAGGGGGTTCTGACGCCACACAAGACATTGGGATTCGAGAGAAAGGTGTGTTGGGGAGGATGGGGGGGGGGGGGGGTATGACAGTTACTGACAGCGCGGCGGTGGGGAAGGAGGAAAAGTTGCGATAAGTTCCTCATACCGGCGTGAGAGAGACCAAGGAATGGGAAACGGAGTCTCATTTTCTCCGAAATGAAATCGCAACCAGTGAACGTGCCCTCCCGCACTATTACAAAATTGAAAAGAATAAAAAGAAAACAAATCACGAAGCGTTTGCACGGCGCTAATGGACGCGATGATGTGGCCGGAGAGTGACTCATCCATAGGCGCCACAGGAGTCACTTTCGTGGTCACCGCAGCGGACAGGGACCCCTCCTTTTCCCGGAAAGGTAACACCGACTCACTTCAACCAGCACCCGCAAGCTCGCACCGCCGTGCGTGACTAACGCACCCGCGCGCGGTCTTTTTACTGCCCGCAAATTGATATTTCAAGCACGCATAAATAAAAATATTTTTCCATAAGCCCGTAAAAAGTTTGTTATACACCGTGAAAAAAAACAAAACAGTGTGCTACAATTTAGATTGTAGCTGAGCGTAGCGAAGCTCTACTCTAGGAAAATTTTGTCAAATTTTCCGGCCCCGCCCTGCAACATGTATAAGATAACCGCAACAAAGTAGTGTTCGGAAAGATATAAACATGTATTACATGAAGAAAAAGAAGAGACTTCTTAGCTTTTTACTGAAGAACATACATATTAGAACTATAATTGTATGAAAATGCTAAGGAATTAGACAATGTTAATTAAGCAAATGCATTATATATATAAATATATATAGCTATATATAGCTGTATGTATAGCTTCATGTGCGAGGCTTTGGGCCGCAGGCCCCTGGCTAGTATTCTGTACGGACAGTTCGCAACGAGGGCATAGATGGACGTCGAGCGCCTGCACCACCAGCCACCATCCAGCGGTGATTGACACAGGGACAGGGACGGTCCATTACCGGGACGGACAGTCACGTGATGAGGCCGCGTGGACAGCGCGTCAAACTCCACGCGCCGCACCCTCCGCGCCCCTGTGCTGATTGCCATTCATGGCGAACCGCCCCCTCCCTCTCCCTCGCCACGAAGGGGTGCGTCAGCCAGCCCACGGGGGTGGGGAGAGGTTGCGCTGAAGCCGGAACCGAAATCATGCCGGATTTCGTTCGGCGGGCAATTTTCATTTCGGAAGGCGCTCGCTGCCCCCAGACAGCGGCCCCAGCCGCCGCGGAGCGCGCTCGGGGGTTGAACTGGACTTGTGGGTTATGCTTACAATATTCCCGATTTTGGTTTAAAACAAATCACGCGCTTTGGTATGCACTTTTTTCTGGACAAGGAGGAACCGGAAACACTTTTACCATAAAAACAGTTCAATAAAATGAATTTACACTGGCAAATCGCGCAAACGGGTGGAGCGCGTTGCGTAAAGGAAGAGCGATGAGGGAGGAAGAAAGACGAGGGAAGTGTGTGGAAGAGAAAACGAGAGGGAAATAGAGAGGAGAAGGGAAGGGGGGGTGGAAAGAAGGGGGGTGGGGAGCGCCCTATGCGGTCCCGCGCGGGTCCCACCCATGCCCTTACCCTTGGCGGTGGCTATCGATTTTCCGGTGCGGACCCTGCAGCAGCGTTGCCTCTGCCTCTCTCTGTCTGTCCGTCTCTCTTCGCTCCCTTTCCCTCGCCTCTCCGCCGCCGCCATGCCATCCTCGCGAGCCCGACCGCGACGCTAATTCCAAGGCCCTCCTCTCCAAATCCAGCAAGAGCACGACCCACGCCCCGCCTGACGTACACCGACAAGTTTGAAATGAGGAGGAAGGGGGGGGGGTAACTTTGGTAACAGTTACAACACGACACTTGTGCCGCGCCGGGGGGGGGGGGCGCTCTCCCCGGGCCTCCCCCAGCAGCAGCAGCCCTGGCAGGGGGTGGAGCTCACGCAAAGTTTCAAGGCCAGGGCCTCTACCCGCCAACCAGCCTCCAGCCGCTACCGCGGCCTCCTCTCCGTCTGCCGGGCTCCGCCGGGCTCCCCCCTCACAGAGGTGTCCGAGGCCGTCTCCTCGCTGTCCTGGTCCTCGCCTGGACTTCTTTCCTATACTACCGAGCTGCTCCCTGCCTTACAGCCATGGCGCGGGCTACCGCCGATTTTGCATTCATGGCAGCGGTGGTGCAGGAACGGCGCTGGGGCGGGCGGGACGGAAGGAAAGCTGGAACATCAGCCGCGCCCGCGCCCTGGCGTGCTTTACTGCGGCACGTGCGCGCCGTCCAAGGAGGAAGGATTTCCACAAGAGAAGCGAAAGAGGGAGAGGGGGAAAAATAGAAGACAATAAGCCTCAGTGGTGCAGGGTTACAAAAGCGGGGACGTATTTTTATAAAGATGAAAAGAGACATATGCGCCGTATCAATCGAGACGCGTGCTTGTGAAGACGTGAACATGTGTACTGTTTACGTGTACGCCGCCGGGGAAAATGTGAAAGGCCCTTGAAAGGGGAGGTTGGGTTTGGGCCCTTCGCGCTCTCTCAAAGAACCCCGTGTGCAACCCGACCCCGCGGGCGAGCCAAATGTGCCCCCCCCCCCTATTTCCAACCCCCGCCATACGCACACACGGTATTGCATTTCAAGCAAATTTATCGCACAAACGCATTATTGCGCACGCATGCTGACAATGGTCTCGCCCAAGGAAGCGAAAGGAGAAGGGGGAGTGCAGACAAGTACTGTTTGCACGAGCTTATGGCACCGGTGAGGAGGGGCGGTTACTGAAAAGCCCCTTGGCAGCGATAGTGTCTATCGCACCAGCCCGGGCACAAAATGATATTCAAAAATATACTGTGGTCGTGCAAAATGAGCGCGGGCAATAATATCCCACCGCAACTGTCGTGATACCCTACCCTGTGCTGTCCTGGCAACAACCAAACAGTCGCACACACTCACACACAGCCCAGCGAGCCCAGCCGGCACGCAAGCTGACACCGCGCCCCGCGCCCTACACCGCCACTACACGCGATTCGACCCCCCCCCCTTTA